GGACAGCTGGTCTGCCCCAACCAAACCTGGGCAACCTCCACAGGGGAGGCATCGGGGGGATGCCAGACTGCTGAGACATCAATATGTATGTACTCTCTCCAAAAAGGCTCAGAAGTTCAGAGGTGGATGCTACTGTGGTCTCCCAAACTAACAAGAAGTCCTGGTTCTGGCCATTTCTGGAAAGCTGAGGAAGAACATCGGAGCCCTTGGGCATAGATATGGTACGTTCACTACCACACTGAGTCTGTTCGTACAGCCAGCTCAGCTCCTCCACAGTCCTCATGGGCCCGGCAGTGTGGGCCTCGAGCTAGGTCCCATCTTCCTCCCCTCCCGCCACAGCACTAACCCTAACCCTGCATCAGCAAGGCCCTGCTTCAAGTTCACATCATTCCTCACGTAAGTGACCAGCAAAACAAAAGGCTCTCTTTATGGCAAACCAGGGCCTTGGAAACATCTGTGCAAGTCCTATAGCTCAGCTGGTAGAGAGAGGTTCTCCCACCCAAGTGAGGCAGGGGGAGGGCATGGTGAGGACAGGGTACCTGTCAAAGGAGGGCCTCTCCCCAGCATCAAAAGCATCTCTGAGCTGCTTCACCAGGTTGTCCTGCCCAGGCAGTCGGAAGATGCCCTCTTCATTCAGGCCGTGCTGGAGGATGAACTCTGCACACTTCTCCACCAGGATGGGCACGAGGTGGGGGCCAAATTTCTGTTCATAGGCCACAGTCTCATCCAAACGCTGGCCAAACACGGCTGGGAAGAGAAAAACAGGACCTGCTCATCACTCTGACTTCCACTGGATGAACTGATAGGTCAAAGTGCTTTGCCTCTATCTAGATTTGTTTGTGTTGCCTGTAACCCCAAAAGTTTTAGTGCAATGATACTAGACAAAAGGGCGGAGACAAGTCACCCATAATATCTCCTGGGGCTATACCTTTGGGGCGGTCTCTGTCAGTCTTTTTCTCTTGACCCACATTTTTACATATTTAAAATAACAACTCATTTTTACAGAGTACCTGTTGTGGGCTAGAAATTGTGCTAAGCGCTTTGCACACCTGTTCTCATTTCATCTCAGTGGCAACCCCACGAGGTAGTAGAATTGTTATACTCACCTTACTACTAAATACACTGAGCCTTAGAGGCACTAGTGAACTTGCCAAGGTCAGGTGCCAGGCCATGGTAGTCAGAATTCAAGCCCAGGCAGTAAACCCGAGAACGTGCTCTTAACCACAGCAGTGAGCAGGCTGTTTTGAATTCTGCTTGTGTCCTATAGCATCAAAATATAACAGTCTACCACATGGATATCTCATACTGTATTAAACCATTGTGGCGTTTTTAATAATTTAGATTGTTTACTATGTTTTACTACTTTTCTTTTTAAGATTTATTTATTTATTAGAGAGCGAGAGCGTGAGCAGGAAGAGGAGCAGAGGGAGAGGGAGAATCCTCAAGCAGATTCCCTGCTGAGGAAGGAGCCCAGCAACCCTCAGCAGGATCCTGCTGAGGTCAGGATCCAGGACCCTGGATCATGACCTGAGCCTAAATCCAGAGTCCGTCGCCCAACTAACCAAGCCACCCAGGCGCCCCATATGTTTTACTGTTTTTAAAATTGCCACAGTGAACATGATTATCCACCTAGCAGAGTTCCTGGAATGTATTCGGTGCAATGTATAATTTCTAATTAATTGCTTAATTAATTAATTAACATTTGGATGGGTAAACATAGGCTTTTCACTCTTTTGAACTATTTCCTTAGGGCAAATTCCCATATGTCGAATTACTAGGTCAAGTGGTTTGAACATTTTTATGACTCAGTGGTATGCAAATTGTTGTCCAAAAATATTTTTCCAAATTACATTGCCTCCAGCAAAGCATGTGTGGACCAGCTCTAACCCAACCCTGTCAGTACTTGGCTCTATAATTTCCCCACCCCAGTGGTATAACAAGGTTAGTTTTTAAATCAGGACAATCATTGGCTACCCATTCTCCCACCAGGACCCCAGGCCCTTTGGTTCCTGGAGGCTCAGAGACAGGTCATGGCTTCAGCTCTGTCCTGCCTGATTTTCCCTCTGTCATAATTAGGACCCTGCTATACCGACCGTTTCAATTGCCAGGACACTGCTTCCCAAAGTCCTTTGGTTTTCCCCATGGTTCTCTCTCTGGTGGGTCCCCTGTTTCCAGTCTCTAACTAATGTAGATTCCCCCTATAAAGAGCTGTACTGAGCTCTTGAATCTACCACATCCTCTGCACTCCCACCCACTGCCCTAAGCCAGGCTAGACTACTCTCTCACCTCTCCCACAGCTGTGGTCTGTTCTCTTCTGACATGTTCAAAGCTCTTCTGCTGCTTACCTCTCTAAACCGCCTCCAATTTACCTAAGCACACTCTCCCGCCCCCCAACCCTGTTCTTAATAGTCATCCACTTCTTCCCCAATTGCCACATTAGCATTTTCCAAATTACCCCTCAAAGTCCTAGGGGCTTCCTCTGCAGCCCCTCCCTCATCACATCAGGTGCTGGGAGTGAGGGCAGTGAATCTAGGAGGAGCTGAGCATGGGGTGAGGGCGGGGTCCCTGTACTCCCTACTCCCAACCAAATCCACTGGGCTGGTGTCTATTTGACTTTAATCCATTTCAGTGAGACTGTTCGATTGAATATTTCTGCAGCTAAAGTTTGAAAGTTGGGGCTGGCATTGCTTGGGTTGGCATTCGGTCTGACCCCCACCTACCTCTCTAGTCTGACTTCAGGTCACGTCCCCAAAGGCGCCTCACCCTGATGTTCCCGAAACCCACAGCTCTCTCCAGTCTTCATACCCTTGGATGGTCTTCTCATTGCCCAGTCTGTTCATCTCTCCTTCCTTGTCTGCTGGAATTCTATTTGTCTTCCTTGGCTGACTCAAATATCATCACGTCTGCCAAGCCTTCCTTGACCCCAGCCTGAGAGATTCTGTCCCTACTTTGTGTACCTATATTCCTTCTCAAATATCCCAATCCCTTTTGACGCTGTACAGTGATAATGTGTACATACCCATACCCTCTGCATGACTAGGTTCCCCAATGCTGGAAATATGGGGATGCTCTCTTTTCATCCCCAGTATTCAGCATAGGGCCTGACACAGGTAGATAGTAGGTTTTGCTGAATTACTTATTATTTCATCTTTAAGCAAGTGCTTTCCATGATTAATGATAACTGTGGCATTTCTTTAAATACTAGTAGAGATCTCCTCGGTGAGGAATTCAGCTCCACACTAACATTTATTGAGTGCCAGCAGCAGGCCATGTGGAATGAGTAATACAGACAAGAGAACATAGGACATGGTTCCTGCTTTCAATAAACTTATACTCGAGTTACGGAAATGAAATGACAATGTGCAATATGAGAAACAATTAGAGGATGCCAACAGCCATATAGAATTTGGTTCCTATATGTCTGTGAAAGGAGGTGAATAGATATGGAAGGAAATGACTGAAATAATCTGACTTAAAACATAGACCACGTGGCATTTGTAAAAATCCCTTGAGGGGCACCGCAAGGGGGGAGGCAGATGTGTTTCAGAGCAGCTGAAACTCAGGCTCAGGGCTCCCCCCAGACCCTGACAGAGAACCATATCCCAAACACAACGTGGGGATATACGTGGAAATGTCAGAGCTGTCAAATGGGAGCTCCATTCCTGAGGTCCAGAGGCAGATGTTCCGTTTTGCAGGTGACCTGGAATCCAGCTCCTTCTTACAACCCTCTGGGTAGCAAGTCCCATATAATTTTTCTCCCCATCCCAGCCTCTCAGCCTCATCCTGTGCTCATCCTCTATCCCTCCCAGCCCCACAGTCAGTCATTGCGATGCCGCTCTCACCAGTAAACCCACTTCCCAACCCTCCTCTCTCCTCCATCATCTCGGCTCTGCTGACTCCCAGTACCCTCTCCACGCCTTCACCTGTCACCCAGAGATCCCAGGGAACACAGCATTCCATATCATGGGAGTTTATATTCCCAATCTCTGTAAAACCTTGGTTCCAAATCTTCCCCACTCGCCTTGCACTCACACTCCTTCCCTTCCCTGACTCAGCAGATGACCTTGGCTCCTCTTTCCCTTCTCTTCCTAAAGTGGAGGACATCATGATGACTCCCTCATCCCCAGTCCCTGCCTTTCTGGTCCCTCCTCCTCTGTCTGTCTGTCTGTCGGTCTGCTCTCAGAGGAAGAAAAGGACCCTGTGCTTTCCTCTAAGATGTTTTTTCAGCCTGTGGGTTCCATCCTTTCCCACCTCTCCAGGACTTCACTCCATCTCTTTTGTATCTTAAATTTTTCTTTTTTCAATCAAAAGAGCCCAAGTGAGTCTAAGTCAGCCAATTTATGAAACAATAACTTCCTGCCCCAGCTCCCAAACCACCACTACTTGCCTTCCTTCTCTTCATCAGTATACTCATAAAAGAACATGTCTACTTCCATCCTCACAGGCTCTACTTCTTCACTTATCAACCTCTCAACCCATCCCAGTCTGGTCTCTTCAGCCTGCATCTTTCCATCCAATCCACTCAATAAAATTTCCAGTGCCCTCCTAATGGCCAGACATGGCCTATGTTCATCCCACACCCTGCTGGTCTTCCCTGGAGACTCCTGATACTGTTGATTCTCCTTCCTCGTCAAGACTTTCTCCCTACGTGATGACAAAACCATCTGCTCTCATTCTAGTCTCATCTCCCTGCTGGCTCCTCTGCAGTCTTTTACTGTGCTCCTTCCTCCAACTGCTCCTTTAGTATGTCACTTCTGGGCATTCAAACTCAGCTGTCTCCTCCCTCTAGACATTCTCTTTGGCAAAGGTCCTATGATTCCGTAGATTTGGACATCACCTACAAACTGGTAACTTGTAAATCCACATGTCTGGTCCAGATCCATCTATCATCTATCTATCTATCTATCTATCTATCTATCTATCTATCTATCTATCTATCATCTCTCTATCCTTTCCCATCCAATGTCTAATGGCATTTCTCCCAGTGTCTTCTCCAATCTCATTCTTGTCCCATCGCCAACACTCCCAAATCACTGCTTATCCTGTAGCCTTCTTCCCAGACAATAGCATTCAGTCACTCAAGCAGTCAAGTATCAGGCATTTTCCTAGGCCCGAAGAATACAAAACCATCAACACAAGGTACCTGAACTCAACAAACCTCATTAGCTAAAGTGTGAGTGTTAGGATTATCTGCAACACCCTCTCTTTCCCTCCAAACCGATCAGCACTTTCTAAATTAAACCATCTCTCTTCTCTGTCCTTGCTGCTACTGTCAAAATTATTGTGATGGTTTCTTTTGCAACTCTGTTTCTTGTAAACTCCTTCCACTGGAATTCACAAAATCAGTCAGCAAATACAAACTGAGCATCTGCTGTGGGCCAGCCTCTTTGGTAGCTGGAGATTTTGATAAAGAGAATGAAAAAAGGTCTTTGCTTTTGAAAACTCTGGAGCTAATACCCTTCCTCCCTCTCCCCACCTGGGAACCTGTTTTTCCAGCAGCAGAAGTTACAGTTGTCTTCTCCTCAGAGGGAACTGGTGTCTCCTTCCTCTGTCCTGACAGAGCTCCCTGTAGATAGCTCTATCCTACCACTTCTCATGTAGCTTAGTTTTAAACGTGACTCTCTTCTACCCGACTGTGGGCTCCTCAAAGGCAGACGGCCCGTCTCGTTCACCATCTATTTTTATTTCCTGGCACAGAGTCTGGCACATGATGGACCAGTCCTCGAAGAGCCGTCACCGGCGGTCTC